CCAGTCTATGATGAATTGTCGTTTCAACGGCCATGTCTTGATGAGGTTAGTAGGTTAATGGACAGCTGTAATAACTTTCGGTCTGAGGTAAATCCCATCCCAGCGCAGAAATACGATATGCATTGCATATCCTCCTCCATACCTGAACTGAAGTCCTACCAAAATTCTCGGGTTCTGGCTTTCTAGGTAGCTCGACCAACAGATGTACAACTGAGAACACAGAATCTCAACAACACCCTTGTCATGTATCGGCGTCCCCTCAAACTCTATGCCGGAAGAGGGATGGAGTTTCTCCATCACCGAGCATAAATAACTTCAGTTACAAATCCCATCCCACGGAGCAGTGATCTTGATACGCGTCTTCTCCGCCGCCATGGCTTAATTGCCAGGGCCATCAGGGGGTAAACTTGTCTTCCCGCAGCGCCAAGCTGGATAGCAGCCCGCTACTTGGCAGAAAGTGGGTAGTTCTAGTCCACATCTGTCTTGGCGACAAAAGTTGCTGATGGAGCTTGTGAGACTTTCTTTGGTCAGGAAGTCGCTCAACAATCTCTGAGGCTCACAACGGAGGGCGGACTTTCAGAGTTACCTATGGTGCCGAAATAAACAGTACCTGAGAGGTACCTGCTGCCAGCTCCTTAGATCGATCGCGGATCCTGGAAACACATCCCCTGTCTTGTCACGCCGTACCTTGCAGAAATAAACCCACATTCCGTCACCATCCACTGAGGAGTACGTGTCGTCGAGTGTGGTTTAAAGTATTTACACATACTGACACAGAGTGAACAAGCTTTTCTTGATGATCTTCCATCCCATTTCTCTCTGGCGTTAAATAGAAGTTTTCCTACTACTCAAGTCAGAGATTTCTTCGTTCGGGAACAAGAGGTTTCGATGCAGGCGAAATCCATATAAACCAACACCCCGGATAGCCCGGCGATTCTTTACCGCGACTACATAATCGATGACGTAAAGCCGAACAGAGCTAGACCTTTCTAGCCCTTTTGGCAGGACGGTGAAATGGACATGGGACGAGTTTGTGGTTTTCAGCCTGCTAAGGAGACCAGGGTCAGGGATATGGACCGAGTAGTGGGCGTTTTTCCAACGTGCGCGCCACGAAGCCACTCCTATTTTGGTGACGAGGCTCAGCGCTGAGCCGAATGAGGCTACCCTTCAAATACGCTTCCATGCCCCGGGATAGGCCGTTCAACTAGTCGTCTTGGTGTTCTTGCTTGATCCGCTGTAAGTCAACCAGTCATGTTATTCTCCTCTAACCTCATCGTCGATCTGCCGGGCTTACCTGGCAAGTTGTTGTTGCCGGCTACCGGCGTCAGCTATTGAATGCACTGAGACGTGCAGCGAACAAAAAACCCTTGATGAGCTGACGATGTGCAGACTACAGAGCGCCATTGAACAATATTGAATACACACCGATACTTGGCATAGGTGCTAAAGGTGCCTAATCTCGCCCGCCTTGAGAGGAATGAACGAAGCTTCTTAGGCTCTCCCTTTGCTCATGGTGATGGATCCATCTACCTATCCTTTCGGGTTCGCTTCCACATACAACTGGCTTGGCGAGATCAAAGTCAAGGTGATCCCTGTTAGAAAAGCGCTCTCTCGTCTCCAGTTGGATCGTCTGCCGCAGCTCATCATCTCACAAATCTTCCTGAAGCTTGATGGAAGCTACTAGGTTTTTAGGCAACGGCCTCATAGTACCATGTATGTATTATTTCCGTCAATTCAGGGGTTCTCACCATGCACGGTTCTGGGGGGTCATCACAGCTCCTGGCGGACTATTGACGATCCCTTCAATAAAATGTGTCTTATTGGAGGCCAGCAACTCCGTAAACGAGCCAAAATTCCACGGAGGATAGCTAGATCGTTCATCGCGATCTCGAATTGTTCAAACCACAATTGTTTGGCATGATCTACGACGGATGTAATACGCCCGTTGCGCGTGCAAATCCATCCTTGCTTCCACTAGGTGGGTAGTCATCGCTTAAAACTGGGTGCTAAAAAGGCACTCTCTTGGATGCTATTGGATAATCTGCCGCTAATTGACTGTCATTCCTTATATCCATCCTCGACAATAGCTTCATGCTCACTTGCAGAAATCGTGCTCGCTTCATTTCGACGGGCCTTTTACTCCGATCTAGTGTGTCCTCGGCATTTAAGTTATCCGAACAAGCGCGCAAGGCTGAACGGCGTCGAGTACTTCTTGATCTATCTCGTCAAGTTAATCATATCATCCTGGTTAACGTTGTGCCGTGAATGGAGAGACCCAGTAGCTAAGGAACATGGGGCGTGTGCTAAATTTGACATCGCAGGGACCATCAACAGGCCGGTCGACATGGGATTTTCAGAATCTCGCATATTCTAGTGGGCTGTCCGTGATCCCGCCGTCAAGACATCATCATGTTGAAATGTGGCTATCTACTCCGCTGGTAATTATGTATAGTTGTATACCAGTATGTCTACCTGCGTTTAGCATCTTGTCGGTGTGTACGTACCCTCCACTGAACTGAATCTGACTATGGTATGTCCTGATGTCTAATTAAAGCACCCGAGCGGGACAAGTTGTTTGATGAGATATGTAAAGATCGACGACTTTGGGACCATTGGGATCACGACTCCTATTCCAACGTGACCAGCATACATGTAAATCCTCGATAGGTCACAAAGCTAGTACCGTGCTGCCGCATGCTCACCGTAAAACGACGTTGTGCATGGTAAATGATGTGATATTTGGTGGTGCTCCCAAGTATGTACAGATGGCCCAACTTGTAGCCTACCTTAGGTATCGCTGCTAACTGGATACCATGTCAATTTCATTATCCAATCATACAAATGACCTCGACTCGAAGCGTCGCATACAATTAAACCCCATAGCTGAAGTCTATTGTGCCAATCCTACTGAGTTACTTGTCTGCAGGGTAAGCACAGAACATAAGTTCAAATACCTAGCCACCTTATAAGTCCTTCGCATACACATGTATACACTACATAATACCTATTTGGCACACTGCAACCCCAGGAAGACGTATTTTTTCAAGAGTCGGGCGTGGATGGTTCCGATTCTCAGCTGAACCGTCGACCTGTCCACAGCACTTCAGATGGCTTAGTTTAGATACCAGCCCGCTTGCTTAGCCCTCATGAGATCATGTTTAGCATTGGTACGCCCAGGCTTATCGTAGCCAGTCGAATGGATAATGCTAGCAGCTAAAGCTGAGACATTGTCTTGGGCTCGAATAGAGAGCCTCACTCGTCGTTGTACGAGACTACGCGGGCTAGAGGCTGTATTGTACTACGAATGGTCTATGGGGTTGCAACCCGAGTCGTCAATAAGTTAACACCGATCAGCCACAACAAGTAAAAGACCACACCGACAGACCATAGGTCGCAGCGGTAAGTCATTCGTCGTGCTTGGATTGCCACACTTATCGGTGAATCAACCCGTGAGACATGGGTATGATGCTGTATGAGTAACAGAAAAAGCACCGGCACGATAAGAACAACTAAGAAACATACTAAGATGCTGTTGTAGGACAGAAGTCGGAATGTTGAAGGCCCTCGTGCATGTGATTCACAATGTGTCAACCAGCTAGTTGCATGCCCGATAATATCTGGAACAGGCGTGCTGCCGCGTTCCGAAAACTCGTGGCAGTGCGCCAGTCTCTTGCCAAATTACCACTGGGAATCTACTAAATAGCAAAAAAAAAAAAAAAAAAGAGATATAAACTGTTATTTTGACTGGGATCTTCAAGATCGGGTTGTTCACGAGATGTCGTGACACTTATGCATGGAATCGACGGATAAAATCAATATACGAACATCACATAATGCAAGGTTAAATCCCAAGCCCCTATCGAAAAAAGAGAGTGAAACCAGATAGCCAGGGGTTCACTCAATCATGGTCGAGGATTATGCCTGATTCAGTTCTGCTCGTTGAGTCAAGGTATCGTCTCTGAGAGCCGAGGCCTCGGAGTAAGTGATTTTTGAGTCGAGGAGCAAAGGATACACGATATTTGGTACAGAGTGCACTCTTACCTCAGTATTGAGACCTGGTATGAAGACTACATGGTTATAGGCATGTAAAACCCTGCTTGTTGTTAACTATGCTCAAGATTGTATAACGTCCTCGCTAGCCACGCAACAAGCATTGCTAGAGTGAAGGTTTGGAATAAAACATCCCTGAGTATCTCACAAGGTCAATTCAACATCTTTGAACCTGTATTTGAGGCAAGAGAAAGGTTATGATGTGATCTCAATGCCATACAGTCTAGCTAGGCAAGAATGGTCACTCGGCCATTCAGTGTACTGAATCTCGGAAGATAATTGCGTAACCTGTACGAAAGATAATGTCGCATATTGGAATCTCTTCAGCGAAAGCAGGTACTCGACATCATAAAATGTAGTTCTTTTGCCTCAGCCTTCAACATTCAACGACGACAACACCACCAAAGACTTTGGGGTCAGGTGTCGTACACAAACCCTTTAAGAACAGTGCAGAATGAGCTGTAGAATACACACTATCTAATGTATCTATCGTCTGAACCGTCTCATGTCGTTAGCCCTCGTCATGAGTTACTCACAGACCTGAATAGTCCATATGATGGGTACAGTTTAGGAGTGCCGGCATCTCATTGAAACACACACATAGGGGCGAAACTGCCATGACAGGCAGATAAATCCATGCAGAGGACTGGTGTGACAAATTCAAGCTGTGAAAGTTGCAACTGCGTTTCTGCTGCAACTCGCTCCATTGCACAACGACCGGCGTGGAACATCAAACACCAGAGACCAAAGAAACAATCCCGAGAGACTTCCAATGCGTACCTAGGCAGGCTTCAAATATTTGAGCGCTACAGAAAAAACCCTGTCAGATCCAGCGATGTTCCAGGACAGGCACGTAGGAAATACACACCGTACAAGAGAAAGCCCAGTGTAAACGAGATGCATTGATATCATTGATTTCTTGTGACCGACCTATTTCCATGGATCTTTATTCAGACGCCATCTGGTACTGTTGCCAGCGCGATAATACTGAACTCAAGATTACCCTCAGCAACCTTGGTAAATCTCTTGACAGTAGCCTCCAATGCCTTATCGCTGAGAAGATCATCACCATCGTCCAATGTGCCACAATCAACCGGGCCACCCCAACCTCCTTCCAGATCGTATAAATGACCATCTTGCTGTGACTTCACGAAGCTAATAAAGTGATATCCGATGGGCTCTTCGCTCGCAGGGGCTATAGTGTCACCTGTCACTGCAGCAGCCATGTGAGCCTTCTCCAACTCTGTCGAGTTGTAGAGATAGTTGGCGCGTTGAAGAGGCTTGAGATCTTGTGTTTCCTTAAGAATCTTATCGAGGATCGAGTCTGTGTTGATGAAGCTCTTGGCCGTGCCGTTGCTCACGCTGTGAAGGAGAGCGATGAGACCGCAAGCGTGACCTATAGTCTGTCTGTACCACACAACTGGCTCGTCTGGACCGGAGCCATCGTAAGTCAGCTCCTTTGAACCAGGGTCGTTCTCACGAACGCGTGCCCACATAGGTGCAGGAGTAATGAAGACCAGAGCATGAACTGGACGAGGGATCATGGCAAGCAGCTCAGGCTCATCAACGCTATAGACATCGTAAAAAGCGAGCTTCTCGGACACCCCCAGGTTGTGAATGAGTTTGGTGAAAACTTCTGGATTGTTCTCGAGCGGAATAAATGTCTTCGTCTTGTCCTTTCTAAAGGAAACTCCTGGCGTGGTTGACATGATGCCGAATGTTTTGGTAACGACGAGTTTAGATGTACCTTAGGTAGTGAGATGTCTACCCCGCGATTGCTTTCGTGAGGTTATTGCTGAAAGTTAGGTAGAGTTGCCTCCGCTGCTGTGAAGTGAAGGTACCTGAGGTAGGCAACAGCGGTGCGTCATCTGTTGGAGTTGGCTACCACACACAAGCTGCCACTGCAACAAACACATACACACAAACTCGAGTGTGTATGATTGTAGGTAAGCGTAGTCAATGCCAATCGCAAAGCGAATTAAAGCGAATGGATACATGCCAATTGTATCACTGCGGTTGTTGTTGGTACAGCTTGGGAAGTCTGACTATTTGTTTGCGAGGTCGTGATGGACAACCAAGAACAAATTATCCATCTTGTCATTCCATCAGGTCTTTGGCGATGACTAGTGGCGACTGGCTACCTCGTACCAAGAGGAGACGTCGCAGTTAACACTACCTTTGAACATGGCACATGAAATGACTTGAAAGCCTGTTTGCTTGCACTTATGAATCGCTAGAAATAAGCTATTGTGATGTGCTTCCTTTCACTGCACATTTGCAACCCATTGTCGGCAAGATGCCCGGTATGACAAAACAAAAAATTTGGCTTGTGTATACAAAGTGCGACTAATAAGTCATTGTATGTTTCTCGGTAATTGTATTCCCAGGCACATTGGTGATAGTTTTGTGATTGTTGGGGGAAGTAAAAAAAATAAAATAAAAAATAAACACTTCATTTTGTCAAATTTCACTTACACGTGAACTGCCAGACCGAGCCGTGTGGTTAAATCCAGTGGGTCTTTACGCAGTTCACAGTGGACAGTAGTAGAGATGGCCAGGCTCGATTCAACATACCATTCGAAGAACGAAAGGCCTCATAATCCCATCGTTTGTCCGAACCCCTTTCGTAGTTTTCCTTGAGCTATGACAAACCCTGAGTTGGAATTTTTGGCAGAGATTTCAAGACCTTTCAGTGGTCTGATCAAAGGTTCCATCATTTCTGGTTGCAATGAATGTGAGCCGAGCATGTGGTAACAAAAGTTCGCCACGTGATGGAGGCTGATCGGAGGTAAATGGAACCATCTCTGCTTCGCAAAGGACCTTTTGCAAGAAACTGATTTCCAGGCCAATCCTGTGGGACGAGCAAACCAAAACTTGGACTTTCTGACATTCATGCTGCATCGACTGAGCAAGTTGAAAGGACGAATTGAGCACAAGTCCTGAAATGATCCATGCCTGGTAGATTCCACCAACCTTCAGCCCTCAAGATTCCAGAAGGATTCTGGTCCTAGGACCTTGAACCCGGCATCATGGTTCAGGAGGTAATTGAATTCTGGTTGGACCCTGAATCGATCGAGGATAGGGAAGCAGTTGCCCGTCGTTTGTCGTTCTCAGCATGATTGACAGCCGGTTGAGCCGTTTATGTAGACAAAAGTGCCAGGCTGGGCGTTGACACACACACACACCTGTCGCTGTATTCTCACGTACACCACGGTTATCTTGTGGGCCGAGGCTAGCCCCGGAGAGGCTGGAGATAAGCAGCGCTCTGAAGGTTTGAATGCCATCAGGGCCTGTGTTCATTGGCCTGTGTTCATTGGGTGAATAAGATAGCAGAATGGCGTGCCAATGCCTGATGTGACATCGAGGGGAAACTGGGCGTCCTAGGCATGCTGGGCTATCGTCACGATAGGAAGACCTAGCCGAAGTCCAGAGGAGCCGTGCTCCTGCGTTCGCTGAAATGTTTCAAACACTTGGCGATTCTGCATTGCCGCCTCGAAAGAATCGAACAAGAATACCAACGAATTGAATTATGCTGCTTTTTCAACAAAAGGTCCGAATCTTTAGACTGAGGAACCACAAGGGGCCATCGAAGTCTGTAGTCGACCAGGTCTAGCCCGAGCCCATGCCCAATTAAGAAGGTGGTCTAGATCCAACTGTGCCATCGCCCGCGATAGCACAGCACGAAGAAACACACTATGGCCTAAGTTGTCTAGCACCGGGTCCTTATGGCTGTTCCCAGAGTACAACATTGAGTGTCAATGTGCGATTCGCGGGGAGCGACACTTCTCCTCAGTCTTAGGCCCTCCTTGTTCTTGGGGCTGAGATCCCCCCCGTACCGGTCCCAGTCTGTATAACCACATCTGCAAAGCAGCAGCCGCTGTCGGCTTTCTCCTTCGCTTCAACATCGTCTCTCAACACCACAAGACCAAAGGCCGTTGTTGTTGTCGCTGTCATAGCGGGCTTCAAACCACGCGTCGACGTCGGTTCGCTGTCACTGAAACAATCCATTGCTCGAGCAGAGGATATCAATCATCATGGCGCCGTCTCTCTTTCGCAAACGCCACGAGGCGGAGGATATTATTCCAATCCCTGGCCCTCTCGAGACCGTCTCCGCTTCCGGTCGTGATTATCTCGAGAATCTACAGCAGTTCGAGAAGTCTCACAAGTTCGACCCCAATCTGCCCATCGACGACCTCACGGATGTCGACGCCGCTATCGCGACTGGAAATGCCGAGAAGGGGATTGAGATTGAGCACGCGCTCATGGAGGACAACAGTCCCTATCCTGAAGTCCGATCTGTCGTCCGAAACTACGATGTCGATGTTCCTGCCAACACCATCCGTGCCTGGACTATCGGGTTGATTCTTTGCACCATCGGCTCTGGCGTGAATATGCTCTTCTCGTTGCGAAACCCCAGTGTTACAGTTACTACCTATGTAGTCCAGCTTGTCGCCTATCCGTTTGGTCTTGGCTGGGACTTGATTATGCCCGATCGAGAATGGACCTTGTTCGGTCTCAAATTCAATCTCAAGCCTGGTAAATTCAACTACAAGGAGCATGTGGTAATTGTCGCCATGTCTAATGTATGCATAATTTCTCTCTTCTCCGTGAGCATCACTAACTCGAATAGGCCGCGTACGGTGGCGGCGTTCTCTACGCAACTGATGTACTCCTTGCGCAGCAAATCTTCTATGGCCAAAAGTTTGGCTGGGCTTTCCAGATCTTATTTGGCATCACGACTCTTTGCACTGGATATGGATTGGCTGGTCTTGCCCGTCGCTTTCTGGTGTGGCCGGCTGCTATGATCTGGCCTACTGACTTGGTTAATTGTGCCTTGTTCTATACGCTTCACGATCACTCCGGCTCGGACCCTACCAAGACTAATGGCTGGAAGATGGGACGGTATAGGTGGTTCTTAATTGTCGGAGCCGGAGGTTTCGTTTGGTACTGGTTTCCGGGTTGGATCTTCAAAGGTCTTTCTTACTTCACCTGGGTTTGCTGGCTTGCACCCCACAACGTCACAGTCAACAAGATTTTTGGTGGCATGACCGGCTATGGCTTGATGCCTACATCCTTCGATTGGACCGTGTACAGCGGCTACCTGCAGTCTCCTCTGATCCCACCTTTCCACGCCATCGCAAACGTTCTCCTGGGTATCATTGTTTTCTTTATTTGCATTTCAATGGGCATCCATTTCACAGGTACCTGGTATGCGGATTACTTCCCCGTCCAGTCATCCGAGTCCTACGACAACACAGGCGCCATCTACAACGTTACGAGAATCCTCGACAACAACTTCCAGTTCAATGAAACAGCTTACAAGGAGTACTCGCCACTCTTTCTACCAACGCAGTTTGCCCTTTCCTATGGTCTGTCTTTTGCAGCTGTTACAGCTGTTGTTGTTCACGTTGTGCTCTACCATGGACATGAGATCTGGAGACAATTCAAACTGGCCCGCAATCAGGAGGATGACGTTCACATGCGACTGATGAAGAAATACCGAGATGCGGAGGATTGGTGGTATGCGAGTAAGTTTGGTGTCATTTCAACAAACCTAAGATCTATTCATACTGACACTCATCAGCTCTTTTCATTGTTATGGTTGCTATTTCCATTGGCGTAATTGCTGGCTGGCCAACTGGTTTCCCCGTCTGGGCGTACTTCATCTGCCTCCTCATTCCCGTGCTGTGGTTGATCCCTATCGGCGTTGTTCAGGCTATCACCAATATCCAGCTCGGTCTTAATGTTCTGACTGAGTTCATCATTGGCTACATGGTTCCTGGTCGCCCTATGGCCATGATGATGTTCAAGAATTACGGCTACATCTGCATGGGCCAGGCACTTTACTTTGCACAGGATCTCAAGCTCGGCCACTACATGAAGGTTCCTCCTAGAGTCATGTTTTCATCACAGCTGGTTGCCTCAATCTGGTCAGCTATTGTACAGATCTGCGTGATGAACTGGGCACTGGGACACATTCCTGACGTTTGTGCGATTGACCAGCCTAACAACTATACCTGCCCAGGTGGTCGCGTCTTCTACACAGCCTCTGTTATTTGGGGAGCCATCGGCCCGGCCCGTATTTTCAGTCATGGCTCAATTTACTCATCGCTCCAGTGGTTCTGGCTGGTCGGTGCCGTGACACCAGTCATCACATGGCTGCTTGCCCGCAAGTGGCCTCGTTCAATCTGGCGATACGTCAGCACCCCCCTTATCTACGGTGGTGCTGGTATGTTACCCCCAGCCTCTGTATACATTTACCTCTGCTGGGGCATGGTCGGTGCTTTCTTCAACCGCTTCGTCAAGAGAAGATACACCGGCTGGTGGCTCCAGTACAACTACGTCACTTCGGCGGCACTGGATTGTGGCCTCATCATGTCAACGATGGTGATTTTCTTCACCTTGTACCTGACGAGTGCTTCCCCCCCAATTGGTGGGGTAACTATGGTGCTCTGGAGACAATGGACTGGAAGACTACGGCGGTCTCGAAGACACTTCCAAAGGGCTCGTTCATCGGACCTTCAACATGGAACTAAGATGCCAATCTTACATGGACATGGTTTTGGGAAGCAAGATTTGGATGATACGAAGGAATTTCGAGGCGTTATGGTCTGGGTTGTTTGCGACTTGGCAATGTTTCTTCTTACTACACGTGCGAGATACCTCAATGATGATTAATGTCACGGATTTTTCGGGAGAAGCTGGTTGGGTATAAGTGGAAATTTGTGAGCATTTGATTACAGCTAGTACTTCAATTAAGATTGATGTTCATATTGTCGTTCAACCAATGGGCTTTGTTTACGAAGTGACAAACTGTTCTACTGCCTTAGCACCTTAGCTGCGGAGCCACTAAATTCATAGACGAAACTCTTTGCCCCAGTCACGTGAGCCGCTTTTTCTCGAATCACATGATCTTCTAAGACCGCCCACACCTTCCGTTTCTTAGGGTTGTAAATTCGCACTCCGCCAAAAAAGGTCTCGCAAATTGAGAATTTCTCGATCGCCATCCAACTAACCGCCCAAACACCACAGCCAAGATGAGTACGTCGCCGCCCGTCAGCTGCTCGCGATACGACAGCAGACAATGATTCTCCCGAGAGGATTGCAAGAGTTTTTGCTAATGCGTCTCAACAGCGAAGGGTACCTCCAGCTTCGGTAAGCGTCACAACAAGACGCACACCCTGTGCCGACGATGCGGTTAGTTCTTATGCCCTCTTGTCTCGCTGTTCAGACAGCCCTTCGATCTGTGCAATGGATATTCGAAACAAAGCCGACACCGAAGATGGACGATGGCGAGAATCGAGGAATCTCTGAACGGCGGGGCTTGGACACATCAAAGTGGACGGAAATACTGATGGGATCTTATAGGTCGCCGCTCTCTTCACATCCAGAAGCATGAGTGCTCTTCTTGCGGCTATCCTGCTGCCAAGATCCGCAAGTGTACGTGAACATCTCACAAATGGCGTCGACAAACCGATATCGAGTACTCGACGCTGTTGGACAGCATTACTGACTGCATCGACAGACAACTGGTCCGAGAAGGCTAAGCGAAGAAAGACCGTCGGTACTGGCCGCACTCGCTACCTCAAGGATGTGTCCCGACGATTCAAGAACGGTTTCCAGACTGGTACCCCCAAGGGCGCTCGGGGCGCTACCGCCGAGAAGGCCTAAATGGGGACCGCATTCCTTCTGATCCCTTCTACCACCTCTCCGGCCTACCCCTCTTCCACCACGGACGTTTAAAACACCCGCTCCTTCGAGAACATACAACAGCAATGGCGGCTCATGGCATGAGCACAGACCCAAGGACAATCTGGTTGGAACCGGAGTTAGGGTGGTGATTGGGACGGGCGGTCGTGTTTGTCGGTTCGTGGATGAAAGGAGCGTAAAGGTGCGCCTTGGAGCATGGGCATGGTGTTTTACATGTTTGAGCAAGGAAGTAAAAAAAAAGAACCCTTTTGCTCTTCTGAGATTCCATAGGGTTTCGGTTACGAGGTTCTGAAATGGCATCTTGATTCTGCATGAACGTACCTGTGGCCTCTGAGGGGACATTTGTGAGGAAATGTTCTGGTCGTCTATCGCGGAAAACAACGGTCTCGTGCATGATACCCTGTCAAATGAGGCATGACTTGTAAAACCAAAGGCTTTCAGGCTGCGGGTCTGAGTTTAACATTCTCGCAACTGTCACGACGGTCACTCTTGATTTTGACCTTGGTTTCAATTTCACATCCATCATGCCCCTCTTTCAAAGACCTTAACTCCACCGTCCGCAACAACATGATATAAATACTCAGTAGCACCGCCCAAACCTTCAGCCCCAGGTCCTGTAATGCGCACTACACCACTGACGTCCCTCGCTGTCCCTGTATCAAGCATCCGTAGGGCCAACACCATGTCAGCTGCATGCGCTGAAGAAAGGACGAGGCTGGCGTGCTCCCGCTCAAGCGTCGTAACTTGGGCAGCAACAAGAGGCACGTCGGCTGACAGAGTGAGTAGCGTACTGTGAACAAGCTGCGAAGGATTTAGTGAGTGACGTACTTTTTCTAAGCTGAGGAAACCTTACACTGCGTAGGCCGAGGACGGCGTCTTGAAGTGTGAGACTTGTGGTTGAGTCATCGGTGACAGCGAGAAGCGCATCAAGTTGGTCGATAACAAGAACTTTGCGCGAAGCACGCAAATCCGCGATGGCGCCTTCAACCTCCTTCTTGATGTCTGCAAGCTTCGTACTCCGAAGCATTCTCTCTTTTCGTGTGCCTGGCACCGCAGTCTTAGCTTCACCATAAAGTCCTGAGAAACCGTCGATGAATGTGAAGCGTCCTGCTCTGCTCAGGGCATCTAAATCAAGGCCCTGGCCAAAATCAGTATTTCCCTATAAAAATGTCCCATTGATTTGTGGACTTGTTACCAATTTTGTAGATCCTTCTTTCCAAAAGGCACCATCTCTCATGAAGCTCAGCAGTACGACGCCTGTGTCCTTGGTGCTCTCATCCCCATCTGTACTACCTCTCAAGTATGAATACACATGACGCAGAACCAGCCAGTTCGCGCTCGCCCCGAGCACGCTGGTGACAAGATTGAGCGAGGACTCTGGAGGTAGAGAGATGTAGGGCTCCAAAAGATGAGGTATACGTGAGGTAGAAGCCATTTTTAGACTGAAATATTCGAGGTTGTTGTTGGGATCGATATGAAAGATTTTGAAGATTCAGTGGCACTGTGCGAGAAATTCTGTGCTGAGTGGAGCGAAGGGAGTGTCCCGTGGGTGATAAGCAAAATCAACTCATAGCTACCGCGTATTAAAATTTTTTTGAACCATAAAGTATATGCGTGAAGAACCCTGTTCTAATCTGGCATATAAGTATGAGTCTGTGGAAAATTTCCTTTCAATCTTGTTCATCATGCAGTTCGCCAACATGACAATACAAGTGCAAACTTGGCCGTTCAACGAGGGACAAAAAAAAATCATTATAAATCTGACCTTAATACTCACCCTATTGTGAATTCTGTGCTCTGGTTTCTGCGAAAGAATGTTTGACCTGGCTGTACCAGGACGAACTGTTGCTTTATAGAGCACCATCGCCATCAATATCACTAAAACTCTCAAGCCTGCCAACGCTCATGAGAAGATGGTATACCTATGTCTGACTTGCCAGTTCGCCCCCCTTCTTAAAACCGGAGTTTGAGAAAATGTTCAGCTGGTGACTTTAGGATGATACGAATTTGTCTATAGCCTCTAGGACCTTAATAACGGCAAAGGTTCCCTTCTGATCAATAATTTTCGTTCGGCCCAACAACAGCCAAAGATTTAAAGTGACGAATTCCCCACTCAGGAAGAGTACCAGGGAAAAGGACGTGATGAATGAACATCATTCATTCACACCGAGCGATTGGGTTTCATCAGGCCAATCCCACACCATATCTTCGAGTCTGGCACTTGACCTTCGATACTGGCCGTACGCACAAAGGCCAATGTTGATATCCCTTCTTGAACCTGATCCTTAACCGGGGAAAGTGGCCGAGAGTGAGCAATGACAGGCATGTCAACCATTCGAAGAGAGTAGGTCCTAAGCAACAGATACCTGGCTTCCGGCCCGACGTGGCGGCATTGCTCGAGCATCTGTGATGGATTTTAATGATACTGTGGGCTTCGGGATATCTGGCTGTGATATTGTTGTCATGGTTCAGAAGGCAGAAAAGATCCTGGACCAGCGTCTATTATAAAAATCATTGCTGAGGTTTGATATTACCTTACTTGCCAAACAGACCCCCAAAAATAGACGATCCGCCTCCTCCACCTCCACGGCCACCATGTCTCCTGGCTTCAGTTCGGATCCATTCCTTTAGAAACTCCCTGTCGGCGAGCCTTCTGGCATCCGATAGCTTGGTCGTTGTTTGTGCCTCCCCGCCATCGAAACTTAAGAGCGTGGGAATGCTGGTGATCATGTAGGTCATGGCTAAGTTGGGACTTCCTGACATGATATCCGGTGAATCAAACTCAACAGTCGCGAGAGACACGCCTCCCTCCTCCTCGCCAACGCCAGACTCGACAAGATCTCTGATGAGAGGGCTGACGACTTTGCAGGTTGAACACCATGAGGCGGTCCACAGGGTCAGCAGGGGAGTCCGGGACGATGTCGAGAGTGAAAGGTAGGTTGAGAAAGAGTCATCGTTGCGGATACTAGCTGGCGGTCAACAGACAAGCTATTTCTCGGCAGAGGGAGATAAAGACAGCGATCGACAAATGTATTGCAAGGGGGGGGGGGGAACATGTGCGGAGACATGTGATCTATCAAAGCAAGCAACTGTACTTACGGGGCGTATATCTGGTTCTTGGCTTGTCGAGATGTAGTCGATGAGATCAAGGCTCGTTGGAGTGAACGAGGCGTCGTCTGTGCCTTATTACAGAAAGGGCGGAGCCCAGTACGCAGAGTGAATGTGTGCATTATAATCTTCGTGATGAATTACAGTCTCAATGGCCCAAGCTAAATGTGCAATTGGACCTAGAATGCTTCACTAGAATGGAATTCAAGCGAAGTTTTGGAGGTGAGACAGGGTGAGACGCCCATGCCAGAAATGATGTAATGATCTAGCGACAGGACCCTTTACCAGGTGGGGGAGGCATTGTTTACTGGGGCGGCTGCAGTGAGATGGGCCAGTGGTAAGCCTGCAAAGAGACATTGCAGACCACACGGGACGCCATTTAAACAACATAAGTCGGTCATGGGTGCAGTATCTACAGAAGTGAAACTTGGTTTAACCTGGAATCGTCGTTAGTTATGGCACTGCCGCCTCTCCCGCCAGCGACAGGATGATGGATCCTTTGTCACCAGGTCTGAAGGCATGGGAGTGGAGTCGAGCCTGGTGATCCAACGTTAAACTTACTCGCGTTATTCGTCGAGTAGTGTGTGCCAGGTAGATCGTTACGAGGTCCCTTATCAAGGAGAAACATATTTATTATCCCACCGCCTCCTCGGGCATTGTTTCTTTGCTACGATATATTCCTCGTCGTGAACCGGAGTGGCTTCTTTTCCTCTTGATCCTTTTTTTCACTGTATGATTTCAGGCCGACATTTGTTTTTGGCATATAGCTGGTGACGACTTGAAAATTCCACAATTAGTTGGACCCTGATGCCTTCCATTGCTTCACGACGAAACTAACTGGCTTCCCATCTCAATCATACTCACCTACAAACAAAATTCCTTCATCCATCATCCAACATCCAACATCCAATCTCCCTAAACTAGAGCTTTCTTCTCAGCCTCACTTTGTCCTATTTCATCGAAGGCGCACCCTGCATAAGCTTCTTTGTTTTTTTCTTACATCAGTCTTCATTTGGCACCTATAATCGAAACATGTCCAACTTCTAGACTATACCCATCAAGGTCTATCCCTCGATCCACAAGCATTCCACCGAGAACCCCCTCTGTACACCTCAGAAGTGATATTCAAAACACCAGTCTTCATTTACATCTTGACTTGAGAAAGTTCTCGTTATGCAGCCAGAGAAACCAAACGTGCCCAGGTGGCGGCGCTTCCTGGGCGGCGGCGGCGGACCTACCGGTGCCAGGCCAGATGAATCGTACGGACCTTCCAGATGGAGCATGGGTGTTTTGAACGATAAAAAGACCATCGAAGTTCCAGGTAAGCTCCAAAACTCCCGTGTTTCTATATCAAGTTCGCAAGACTGACGCGTTATAGGCTCCGTGCTTTTGCTGGCATCACATCGTAATGAGCCTCTTGGTCTGCGAAATGTTCATGCCAGAACGTCTCATTCGTCTATTCCTGCTGGCTTTCCTGTTGATACACGAAGGACATCAGCCTCATCAGCAGCAGCAGCTGCCGCTGCCGCTTCAGTAGCGGAGAGTCATGCTCCCGCCAACGAGAGTGACGGCAAGAAGAAAACAAGCGATGGGGCTATCATCTTGGAACCCCAGCCCGAAGAATCAGGAAATGATCCTTTAAACTGGCCCGCTTGGAAACGAGACATTGCTCTTTTGTCGCTTGGTTTCTACTGCATGCTCGGCGGCGGCACAACTCCCCTTATCGCTGCTGGCTTCACCGACGTTGCAGAGACATACGACGTTGATGTCGAGAGGGTCGCTCTGACCACTGGACTCTACATGATGGGCATGGGCCTCGGCTCCGTTGTATTCTCGCCAACCGCTATTCTTTGGGGCAAACGTCCAGTATATCTGGGCAGTGCCATCCTGTTCATTGGGACATCGCTTTGGGCAGCATGGTCTCCAAACTTTAATTCTCTCCTCGCGGCCAGAGTCTTTCAAGGCTTTGCTGTTAGCCCTGTCGAATGTCTTCCATCAGCCACAATTGCCGAAATCTTCTTCCTCCACGAGAGAGCCTACCGCATTGGTATCTATACTCTTCTTTTGCTTGGCGGCAAGAACCTGGTTCCTCTTGTTAGTGCCGTCATCATTGGCGGTCTCTCGTGGCGTTGGGTTTTCTGGATTTTGGCCATGATCATTGCCTTTGGTGCTGTACTTCTCTTCTTGTTTGTCCCGGAAACCTTTTGGGATCGCACCCCCCATGCAAGGCCGAAGCATCCATCCAAGCGGCCGAGTTTTCTTCGCCGGCTCTCATCTCGCCATGCGGTTCCACAAACTGGCGGAGAGGGGTTACTACAGGGTGAACATGGAGGGCACTTTGCAGACGCAGATCATGCTCAAGATGGACGCCAATCACCTGCTGCTCTTCATCGAGGGCGGGACCTCCATGTTGGCTTTGCTGAGTCTGGTGATGCTGCTGAAGAGGCCACAGCACCTGTGACCCCAGTTTCGCCCAAGGCGGTAGTTCATTCGTCTGACAAAAACCCATCTCCTTCCGGCGATGTTGGTAGCACGACTGGAAGCGAGTCCGTCAGTGCGTCTTTCAAGCTGGGCCCGAACCTCGAGAACGAGAAGTTGGATGCCTCGCGACTCCAGGGCCCCCCCAAGATTCAGGCCTACACACACAATCTCCGTCAACAGCCTCCAAAGTCATTTGTCCAGCAGCTTAAGCCCTGGCATGGAAGGCTCAACAGTGATAGCTGGTTCAAGGTCATGGTTCGGCCTTTCATCCTATTCGCATACCCAGCGGTTCTTTGGTCAGCTGCCGTATATGCTTGCTCCGTGGGTTGGCTTATCGTCATCTCTGAGTCGATTGCCATGATATACCGCGATAAAGATTCTTATAATTTTACCGCTCTCCAGACAGGCTTAGTGTATATCTCACCTTTTATCGGTGGTATCTTGGGAACTGGCGTGGCTGGCAAGGTCAGTGACATTATCGTCAAAATCATGTCGAGGCGTAATGGCGGTCTCTACGAGCCTGAGTTCCGTCTTGTCATGGCCCTTCCCATCCTTATCAGCACATGCATAGGTCTAATGGGCTTTGGATGGTCGGCAGAAGAAAAAGATCATTGGATGGTTCCTACCTTTTTCTTCGGAGTTGTGTCATTTGGATGTTCACTTGGATCGACTACATCCATCACATTCTGCGTGGACAGCTATCGCCAATACGCCGGAGAGGCTTTAGTGACGCTCAACTTTTCGAAGAATATCTTGCATGGACTTGTTTTCAGCCTCTTCGTTACGCATTGGTTACATGGCGATGGCCCGAAGAAGGTGTATATCTGGATTGGCATAATCCAACTGCTTTTAATGCTGTGCACGATTCCTATGTACATTTACGGCAAGAGGGCTCGTATGTGGACAGTTCGAGCAAACTTGATGGAGAAGTTCTGATTTCACATGGGCATTGCTTGGAGTTTTGACACTTTTACTACATGACAAGAAAGGGCGCATTGCATGATCCTTCATTTTCACGATACAGAGTATATCGGTTTTGCTATTACTTACAACATATGTCCTGGCACGCAAGTGCTATTGCATTGACTATCAAGACCCGGCATGATTAGAATGAGTATTTTATTAGTTGAGATGGCAGTTAGTGGTAGTATTGAGAACAGACTTGAGCATCTATTGATTCCGCTGTCGCTAGTGATTTCTATGGAAACCTGAAACAATAACTGACCAGCCGTTTGACAATTGCTTTCCACATCTTGACCTTGATAGATGTCCTCCATCTAGTTCCAGTCTGAACTCACCACACTGAAGCGGGACATGTAGCTGGAGTCTTGTAGGTCTACCCCTATCGACTTTCGTCACGCCCAGAGCTGACAAGCGCAATAACGAGAAGTCATCAGGTGATGTCGCGACTAAATAGCGTTTCGATGCTCTCCAGTCCTATGGTTAGGGGATGCGCCCTGAGGCAGCAACGCTTTACAGTGATCAAGTGTTAAAGGATTAGGCTTGATCATTACGCGATCGGGAAAGGGGCTAGAAGTTTAAATCAAGTATCATTACTCGAACGCCGCCTATTTATTCTCTTTTTACCCCCTAACCCTCAATCTTCAGATCGTCAACCATGACAAACGGCTCACAGCTCAAAGAGCGTTATTTGGAGAAAGAAAGAGCTCACTAGAGCACACGATGCAATTGTCTCTGAGCGATGTGAACTTCTTATGATCAAGATTGGCTACAGTCACGCACACAGAGACCGAACGATACCATAGCCTCCCTAGAGGACTTCTTAGGTGATGATGATCAACTCATCGCCTACCATTTCATGTTCACCATGATGACAATGGTTGCAGTACTTCTGTCGTACAGGTGAATAATTACTTCCTAAGAACCGCCATCTTGCGCGTAAAAGTGCCAGTTTCGTCTGTATCTCGCGCCCTACAGGCGATAAGGCCCAAAAGCTCAAGCAACGGTTGGGCTGATAATGACTGCGATCCCCAAGCCCCGGCACAGATTCTGATCATTATCCCTTTCCGGCTGCTGATGAGCTGTAAGGTGCGGGCAGATTAACTTTTGATATCAAAATTAGATTGAGGCTGAGGGCTCAAAGTGGTGGGACGGTAATCTGCTCAGGTACAGCGTATCTTTCAAGCAGGTGAAGACATATACTGTGTATCATACGCATAATGCCTTTTTAAGGGGTAATAAGCTGGTATTCATAAGTCTGATGATTCCTGGTATGGCGCTCACTTCTTAAGAGGCATATTCACCATTGTGGTCTAACCGAGTTCTGGTTGTCGAAGGACGAATACTAGGAATGATTAGACTGGGAAACAATTCCACATTGGCGAGGAACTTGGAATACAAATCGACGTTGCGGGAATAAGCTCTACTTCAGAATACTCTGGGCCTATAGTGTGATTTGTAGTCTTGTAGCAATAGCACCAACTTATCCTCAGTTGTTCTCTTCCTCTAGAACACGGCCAGTTTTGTGCAAAATGTCGATGTTTTTGTGAAATGCTCCTGATGGTATATATCTGCGCCATATGCAATCAACGCTAATCCCAAGACACCATATCCAACGCCCTTTCTCTAATTCATACATCTTGGGGACTGACACCCACCCTTGTTTGTGCTTGCAAGGCATCGAGTCGTGTCCCGTTTGCTTCATCAAAGTCATGTTCATCCCTCTTTCTGCGTCTATGATACGGAAGCGCTATGTCTTTCATTTGTAGCTTCTCAGGGGGCAAGACAGGATGAAAATGTGTTGTTTACATGAGGACACAATCGCCCTCTTGTTGTCTGTCCATCTTACTACGGGAAATGCGCTCACGCTGACGCGCGCCGTTCTTGCCTACACCACGTTTTAGATCCTCTAAACGCTCACGAGCCTTAGGGAAGTCTTGAGCTGTACACTGTTGTTAGTTGTTTGTCTACAAATCTGATTCTATTGCACTTACCGGCTGCTCGCCAATACCATCGCTTTGCGTCCTCCAGATTTGGGGGAACGCCGATGCCAACTTCTGTGAAGTATCCCATGGCATATTCGGCTTTAGCAAGGCCTGCAATGGCAGCCTTGCGGGCCCAAAGGTAAGCCTCGGTGTCACTTTGTCCTAGTACACCTTCACTGCCCGTTAGGTAC